TCAAATCAGTTTCAGCAATATTTTTTCTAGCTGTAATCGGAAGATTAGCAAAACCAAACTCCCACGTACATGACCTGTTTGAACACTTCAGGAGACCACACCGTGTAAGTTTATTTCTATTTAGATGTTTACCTATTTAAAGGCTCAAATCCAGTGGAAAACAAATCCTTTTCCAGAGGACAGCCTTGAATGCAAAAGCTGAAGGATCTCAACTGCTTATCAAAGTTGAGTGGATTTCTAGGCCCAAATAAAGAGAAATACGAAGCAATTCCCAGACAATAAATCTTTGCTTATTTACAAACCCAGTATGATTTATCAACCATTACCTCTATTTTCATGGAAATAGGAAAGATTTAGCATTTCACAAAGAAAGCTTCAGGAAATCTTAAGACAGAAAACACTTTAGCAAATATGTCAAGCGTTCAGTCACCAACTGGAAGCTCACCTAAACTTCATTCAGATTTTCAGATTTCACCTTTAAGCAATGCAGCTTCTACAGGCTTACCACTTATCTGCCTTAATTTTGATCTCACTCGTATATACACCCTGCTGTCACATTAACCTGCACACACAAAAGAAACATGAACATATAACTCTGAACTCACAAGCACGTTGTATGCCCCAAAAGCCAATCCTGCAACACCAGCAGGATTTCTCAATGCAAAGAAATGGATTTGCATGGATGACTATGTACATAAAGTCCCAGATGGCACTAGGGTTCCATTTCTTCCCTTCACTTACCTACCAGGCCAAAGGCTTTTCAACGGGATGTTATCAGCAGCCTTTCTTGGTGGTGTTGCAAAAAACGTGTGCTGGTACTCCTGGGTGGCATTCTGGAAAGATCCAGGAGCCCTCAAAAGTCAAGCCTACTTTTGAGGGTAAGAATGGCCTTTTGCTGGACAGATGACTAGTTATTAGCAGAATCCAGACTTTGTGCCTGCTACAGGGTACTGAGAAAGGGGCAGCTTCCCTCAGGGTGGAGAAGGGTCAAAGGAGCCTGTGGAAGACGAGACAGGTGACAGCTCACTGTGACAGGACTAGTTGTTTCTCACTGAGTACCACCACATGTGGTAGGAACTTGCTGCATTCTGCATTCAGATTCAAGAGATAAGGGGGTGAGGTGGCAGCAAGGGGTGGAGAAGACACTCAATGTGCCAAGATGAGGAAAAGCACCTGCACAAAGGACACTGCAGAGGGGTGTCGAAGGACACCAGCAAGATTGCAAACTTGCTTGTCTCTATGGACTTTGCACAGGGAGGAAACAATCCACACTCCCCCCACCTCCCTAGTCTCAGTGTGCCGCTTCCACCTCCTCTTTAGTTCAAGACAGTGAGACAATTAAGTCACTTCTTGCACTGGAACCCACCACCCTGACCAAGACGGGCAGACAGCCCTTGTTGGGCGATGGCTATGACACAGCAGGGGCTGTCAGGAGCACATGACTGCTGCCTGCACCCCTCTGTCGACTCTCCTTCCATTTCTGACAAGTCACCAGTGGAGCCACAGGATGTACAGAGATATCTTGTTCAAAACCAACAGCCAAATCAGCACGACTGTTCAACACTGACATTTCCCTGCCCAGTAGATGACAAGCCACAGGTGTGCAGTCAGTCCCACAAGCACTGCTTCATCTTGGATGGACACATCAAAACCCAATTTTCACCTTAAACTATCTTTTTCAGCACCTAGACATCAGACTGAAGAATTCTGCAAAGTGAGGAGAATTTAAGACAGCACCTGAGCTAATGACTTTCTAACACCCACAAATGTCCTGTTGACACCTCAGGATGCACATTCAATTTAAAACATCCCTGAAACACAGCTTTTAGCAATTCACCTCATCAAGTATGAATGCTCAGCTGAGAACAGTTATGAAAGTGAGTGCAAGTCCTTTTTCATTACCTCTCTTCTCAGCATCTGCCACTAAACCAAGCACATTTACTAAACTGTCACTGCCTTGACAGGGACAGACAGGGGGTCTCAGTGTTGAGGATGAAGCAGTTTGGGCAGGGGTTGCATAGAAAGCAGCTACAAGGGAACAAAGTCTCAACAGCTTTACTCAATCCAACTGCAGGCTGCTGCCAAAGAAACAGTCTCAGCCTCTAGGAACCCTTTGCCTGCACCCTCCTGCCTGGGTCAGCTCCAGTCACCTCATCGACAGGGATGAATTGGAGCAGCTCACCAATCCAGCCCGACACAACCCTCCCTCTCCCCTTTCTTCTGTGCATGCTGCTTCTTCTGTAAAATCAACGAGCACATGTGGCTGCAACGTGCTGGTGGGAGCACTTGGAATCAGCAGGGTGCTACCTCTCAGCTGTGCAACTGTGGGTAGGGCAGATGCAGAGCGCTCCTTTTGAGGCACTGTCATCTTCAGTCAGATTAAACCAACTGCGGAAGGGCGTTTTCCCTCTCTCTACAGATGCACTGAAGCCTGCCAAAAGAACAGGGAGGATGGAGAAGGTGAGGCAGTAAAGCAAAGCTCCCAGCACAGTGCTGCTCACACCACCATGGGCAGAGATGCCCGTCAGTTCCCTAGACCTGCCAGGCTGAATGCTCCTTGGCTCTACCAGAGCCTCAATTTTTCGATTTTTTCTTGTTTTGGGGTGGGGTGGAATGACACATGACACAAGGACGGACAGACAGGACAGGGACTGGGGACAGGCACAGAACCCAGTAAAATTACCAATGTCCTCATGTAAACATTTCCTCACTGGACAATTAAGCTTATCTAATTAAGGAGCATTAAACCATCTTCTCTGTTCCCCCTACCTTGTTAGGCTATTGGCTCCACATTTCTGTTCACCTCTGTTCTCCATAGGCATCAAAAACCCCCCACAACTGCCTTCAGAGCACGCCAGACACCAGCACTAAGGAGTGAATGCGTAAGCAAAGACGTCAGCTGTAGTATAGGGGAGTTGCTATGCAAATCAATGCATTTCTCCTTGCTTCCCTCTATTAATATGGCTTAAGACTCAGGTAAGTCAAACTAAATCGAAGATTTCTCCCCATCCTGTTCTCACTCTCCTTGTCTCTGACTCATCAGCCTGCAGTCATCCCTGCCAACCCCTCAGTCACTTGCTCAGCCGAGGCTCAGCATTCACCTCCATGGGTGACTGGAAGCAGAAATGTGGTATCAAGTCCACCTGGATTTACCAAAACCTCAGTAAGACAGAGAAATCAACTTTCTCTTTTAAAGCACCCCAATTTTCTGTGTTTCATCTGCCTCCAGGGTGCAAGTCACAGCAGTGGTTCTTTGTGCTGCTACAACAATACCTACAGAGCAGCCGGTACACACGCACTCTAGGCACAAAGGCGCAAGCTTACTGCTGATCCTACATCAGACAGATCTGCTGAGGTTTAGGGCGTGCTGCAACATGTCGCTACAGAATAATCTTCGAGTAGTGACACTTGTAACAGGCGAATTCTTCTAAGAAAAACCCACTCATGACAGATTCTCCAGGGCTGCTCCTGGACTCTCTGATCACACACCCAGCTTTCTGGGCCACTGGAAACCCCTCTCAGAAGCTCAGGACAGCTGTAAGTGGTTTCCTACTCTGAATACATCTTAATTCTTAATCTCCCACTGTATGCCACAAATTTTGAAGGCAACATCTCCTGCATTTAGTGTATTAACAAGCCCTCCCATCCAGCTTCTGCAGATACTTGTAAGTGAACCGTTATTGTCCTCAGCTGGAGTCACTCAGCTGGTGAGCACCATGCCAGGGGCCACGACCTTGCAAAAGATGCAGTGGGTGACCGTCAGCTTTCTTAGCCCCACACGGGCTAGAGGGAAGTAAGCACTGCATTCAGCTTCCTTTGTCTGGGCACAAGAGCTTGTAGAAGCTATATGCCACTGCAGTTCACAGAAAGATCTTTATAGTAGGGGAGAGCACTACTTTGCTACCCCCACTGATGGGCTCAGGTCTGTCTCACCACAAGCATCTCGCAGACACTTCCAGGAGCCCTGCAACTCCTTCCATGCAGAGCACCCCAATGCTGTGCCAAATCAGTCTGAATCCTCGCGTTCAAACCAGCAGCTAAGGTAACACGTCTCCTTCTTCAGCAACACTGGCGCTGGTCAGAAGCCGCACCCAGGCAGTGCACAAGGGCACAGAGATAGCTGTCCCCTCAACAGCCACCCACGGGGGCTGCATCACCCGCTGCCCCTTACCTTCACGAGAGCACTCGCCCCTCGCTCAGGCAGGGGACTGGCTCTCCCGAGGGCTACCCGGCTCATCTGCAGCCCCCGGCACAGGAGAAACAAGGCTGTATTTGCACACTCCGGGATCATCTTTCAAAGGCATTTTGGCCTTTCCACCCAGTACAAAGTAAGAAAGACAAGGGAGCTTAATCCTAACTAGTGTGACTACAGAACGTGTTCACTCACTTCAAGAGATTGTTATACAGATTTCTATAAAGAAGCAACAAAAAATCCGGACGTGACCGACAGGCTGCCTGAGCCTTAGCAGGGACAGAGGAGTCTCCTCTCCCTCAAACTCCCCTCTCGCACCAGGGACGACACGGACCCCCGACAGCCGCGGGCGCTGAGCAGGCCCTGCCAGGCCTGGCGGGGCAGAAACAATGCCGGGCTCCCCCAGGCTCTCCCAACGAGCGCACGGATTTTATTGAACGGGGCGCTAAAAATTACTTAACGGGTCAGGCTCGTCATCTATAAAAGTTAATCACAGACGGCCTAGGAGCACGACCGCAAACGCCACAGCGTCGGGGATGCGGGAGGTCACCGGTAAAGCTTCAGCAGCCCAGGAGGGAGGCAAACGAGCGTTGCTGTGAGCCCCGACAGCACAGACGGCTTCTCCGACACCTCAGAGAAGTCTCCCACCCGCCCGTGGAAGGGGAAGCACCGCGCAGGGAAGAGACGTGAGGGAGATCAAACACCGGAGAGAGCTGTGGTGCCCGCTCTTCTGACACCAGTCAGACAAAGAGCACCCGGGGCTGTTTGTGTGGGGCTGCGGCAGGCCCCGCGCCCCCCGGCCCCTCACCGAAGTACTCCTTCTTCATGTGCATCTCCAGCTCCTTCTCCAGCTCCAGCGTCAGCGCCTCCAGCCGCCTCTCCGCCTGGCTGGGGCCGCTCTCCCGGCACGGCGTCACCTGGTAGGGCAGCTTGAACTTGGGGGCCGGCGCGGAGCCTTTGGAGGGGCTGTAGGCGTAGGG